CAATTGAATTATTATCGTCTTAAATTTATCATTGCCAATAAATAGTTATTGTTATTGAATTAATTATCATTTGCAAATGAATATTTGCAAATCATTTGCAAATGAATTATCATTGCCATTGAATTATCATTGCACTAAATTATCCTTGCCATCAAATCATAATTGCAATTAAACTATCATTTTAATTAAATTATCATTGCAAATAATTTACCATTGCCATTGAATTATCATTACAATTTAATTATCATTTCCATTTAATCTGATCGCAAATGAATTAAAATTCTGAAACATTATTTTAACTGTTTAGCTTCAATTAAAATATGAAGAAAAACATCTGAATAGTTTAATTTAATATATGCATAAAAGTGTAGATCTTTTCAATGACTAAAGGTGATTCAGTGAACAAACTCTCTCACTGTTTTAAACAAATGTTTTCAATTTATAACAATTCATCAATGTAAAACGTCTATTGGGCTGATGATTAGCAGTTTAAAATTTCAAAGATTTTTCATTTATTATTTCGTATAATGCAGACCAAATGTTTGTAATTTCTTGTTAAAATCTGACTGATCTTAACTGATGATGATGTAAATTATGTGTAAGAAAGGGATTAAAGACTCACATGTGCTATAATTGCATATTTAGGCACTTTTCCAAATCAATTATACTGTTTTTAATTACACTTTCCCTACATGGGTGATTTATATTTAGTGATTTGGCTTGTCAGTGCAAAGTGTAGGGGAATTTTTTTCTTTCTTTTTTCGTTTTCAGCAACTGAGAAAATACTAGGTGGAAAAAAACCATCAAGTCTGTTTTATGTTTTCCAATATTGTTTATGACTTCATGGAACGAAATTAGTAAATTGCAGAATTTTGACAGATTTAGTGTTATTGGTAATTCACAGTCGTTACAGGGTTCGTACAGTCTTAAAAAGTGCTTAAATTTCAGTCCCTTTCTTAAAAAGTGCTTAAAAATAATAAAAAGTGCTTAAAAGTCCTTGAATTTGATAACTCTCTTGAAAAGTGCTTAAAAAGTGCTTAAATTCGCTACAAATGTGCTTGAAAATAATTGAATGACAGACTAGTGTCGGTAAAAATCAACAAATAAAAAAAAAAAAACAAAAAAAACCCGATCTTGTTTATGATATATTGAAGTTAGGGGTTTAACAGGGGGCCATACAACAGGGTGGCAGTTAAGTTTGTATTTGTTGCTATCTTTGTTGTTATTCTATAGAAACTGTAGCCAAAAAATGTATTTTCAACAAGAAATGACTTATAAATTAATATTGGTTAAACATTGTGTAGGATATAGACGCAACGAATTGTGCTTGAAAAATGGAAAAACATGCTTAAAAACTGCTTAAAAAGTCCTTGAATTTTGATACTGGATGTCTGTACAAACCCTGCGTTAAAATGATTGCTCTATAGTAAACAAATCATTTGACTGTCTTTATCTGGACAATAAAATGTATGAAATGTTGAGATTTAAGCGAAATATTGAGATTTTCGAAAAAAAAGGGTCATACATAAATATTTTTAGGTCAGGAAAGCTTCACTTACCCGGTTTTTATCTACAAAATGTTGTTTTGTACCCTTTGGTCTTTTGTAGATAGTTGCTGACCTTGCTGTACGAACAAACCAGTCTTAATGGTTTCACTCTAGAGTGTAAAACTTGAACTTCTACATATCATCACAATTGCATAGATCTGCAATTTTTTTTTAGCTTAAAATTGCCAAGTTTTAAGAAATTCTATAGAACAGTTTTTAATTTTGCCTATATGTCTATATGAAAAACTCCAAAAAACATTTTTAAATAGCTTTGACTGTCATGTTGGAGTCCAGACTTTTTTCCTCGTCCTAATTTTATATGCCGTACCCATTTTCAGGTCAAAGGTCAATGTCACTGGGACCTGTAACAACAAAGCATAAAACTGGTCATTGAATCAAAGTGCATGGACTGATTATTTTCAAATTAGTGAGTACATGTAGATGCACATTGATGACTTCTTGCTACATCCATTTAAGAGTCTAAAGGTCAAGGTCACTTTGAGGTGTAATAATATAACATTAAACTGGCCATTAAAACAAAGTAAATTGAGGATGGAACTTGTAACTTTGTATGTACTTGTGCCTTGATAAGCTCAGCCCGCCACACCCATTTCAATGCCAAAAAAATCAAAGGTCAGTGTGAGTGCTAGTTATGTTCAGACTACTATCCTCCACTGAGAAAATTGAAGCTACCCTGCTTCAGGGACAGCTCCTGTTAGATTAAAACAACAACAAGAAAAGACAAAATATAGCCAACTGATTCCATGTAGGGCTAGTTGTAATAGTGTATGAGATATGTGACAGGTTTTGTTGTAAAGGTTAAGTTTCAGTCTGATAACCAGCTTATTGTATGTCTCCACATTAGGAATTGTTGGTGGAATATGAGGGAAGATTGTGACAGTTTGTGGATAGAGTTATCAGGCTAGGATTTATGTTGCCAGTTTGTAGATTGACAGGCATTTTATATAAGATACACACATATAATTGTACATGAGGAGATTGGTAACAGAATTATTATTGATATTGAATTGTCATGGAGGAATTTTAAAAAACAATGCAATCTTTACCACCAGAGATCTGTTAAACTGATAGTATATATAGTTTGGTTTGATGAGACTGGCTTTGTGGCAAGTTATTTTTGCTGCTTGAATTCAAAGAGGTCATTAAAAGTAGTAAGCACTGATGAGGTGTGTGCAGTTTGACCAAATGTTTGTTAACTTATTCAAACCTTATCATTATGAAATTATCAAGCCTTATAATGACAACAGTGACAGCGTGTTCATTAGTTCATTTAAAAGACCTAAGCCTGTTTGCAATAATGAACAGACTGGCCTTTTAATTCATACAGTCAGGCAAGCCTGTTTATTATTGCAATAAGGTCAGTCTGTTTATCTGTTCAATTAGGCAAGCCTGTTAATTATTGCAATTAGGCCAGTCTGTTTATCTGTTCTGTCAGGCTAAATAAATAGACTGTCCTGATAGCAAGAATTAACAGGCTAATCTGACTGAACAGATAAACAGACTGTTCTGATTGTAAGAATAAACAGGCTAGCCTGACAGAACAGATAAACAGACTGTTCTGATTGTAAGGCTAGCCTGTTTATCTATATAATGATGCACATACTGGCCTTTTAATTCATACAGTCAGGCAAGCCTGTTTATTATTGCAATAAGGCCAGTCTGTTTATCTGTTCAGTCAGGCTAGCTTGTTTATTATTGCAATAAGGCCAGTCTGTTTATCTGTTCAGTCAGGCTAGCTTGTTTATTATTGCAATAAGGTCAGTCTGTTTATCTGTTCAATTAGGCAAGCCTGTTAATTATTGCAATTAGGCCACTGTTTATCTGTTCTGTCAGGCTAAATAAATAGACTGTCCTGATAGCAAGAATTAACAGGCTAATCTTACTGAACAGATAAACAGACTGTTCTGATTGTAAGAATAAACAGGCTAGCCTGACAGAACAGATAAACAGACTGTTCTGATTGTAAGAATAAACAGGCTAGCCTGTTTATCTATATAATGATGCACAGATTGGCCTTTTAATTCATACAGTCAGGCAAGCCTGTTTATTATTGCAATAAGGTCAGTCTGTTTATCTGTTCAATTAGGCAAGCCTGTTAATTATTGCAATTAGGCCAGTCTGTTTATCTGTTCAGTCAGGCTAGCTTGTTTATTATTGCAAAAAGGCCAGTCTGTTTATCTGTTCTGTCAGGCTAGCCTGTTTATTATTGCAATAAGGTCAGTCTGTTTATCTGTTCTGTCAGGCTAGCCTGTTTATTCTTACAATCAGAACAGTCTGTTTATCTGTTCAGTCAGGCCAGTAATTTTTCAGTCAACCTGTTTATAATTTCAATGCAAAAATAAAAGTTGCCAAATTCATGCAGTGCAGTAACAATGGTTTTCACGATGTACCTATAAAAATCTTGATAATATGGTTCAACTGATCCTGATTTTATTTTCTTTGTTTATACTGCCAGTTGTAATGATTTGTGAACAAAAACACATAATTACACTTAATTACATACAATGGTGGTCTGACTGAATGAAATGTAAGAAAAAGCATGTTTATAACATATAATAAAGCTTGAACAATATTTCAGCTTGTGCAAAATGTCTGTTGGAATGTGCATTGATTTGTTGGAATGTGCATATATGTTTGAAACTTGAAATTCAAGTTGTTACAAAGTTAACTGATCTTCTTGGACCGATAGTGTTGTAAGATCACATACTTCACTGCGAAAAATTGTGAAGAAATGACCATGATTAAGGAAAACTTACTAGAAGGGCCTTCTGTAGGTTGCTGACTTAGAATCAGTTTTTCACCTTGGATTCTTTCATGGTACTTTCATTGATATACTAGGCATTTTAATTTTTTCCATTTTTTATGCTACAATGTATATGATTTTATAATATCTGTGTGGGAACCCATTAAAATCCAGATAATGCCCATTTTCATAATATGTAAGAAGCTATCCAGCTGTAAACTCATAGATCATTTTACTGATGCCTGAATGGGCAGCTAAGGTATCTTTTACAACTAAAGCTGGTCAATCACCACATGACTGTGATGGCGTGTCATACAGGTCCGTCTGTTTCCCTCAATAGGGAGAGCATCGGATTTGTAATCCAAGGGTCAGGCTGGTTCGATCCTTGGGCGAGGTGAAACTTCTCCTTGACTATTGATCTGGGACATTGAGTTTTATGATCATTTGTGTGTCATTGCTGAAGTCATGTTGGTCACTTGCAGTAAAATTTGTAAATACTGGTTAGTTACCATTAAAAGCCAGTTAGGTAAACCCGCTGCCGATGTATGACCAAAACATGTAAAATTCGGCATTTAAAAAAGAAGGAAGAAAACCAAAAAATAAGTGTGACATACATACCTAATTTCATATTTTTATTCACAGCATTAACCTATATATTAATATATAATCATCATTATATATATTTTCAGGTCAGCTTCACCTGTGAATGGATTTATGATACTAAACAGACTAGGCCTGAACAATCTGATTGAACCGATAACCAAAGACCTGGAGTTCCAACAACAAGACCCTTTCCTTCTATACAGGAATGCTAAAAGTAGGTGCTCTCCTTCAACCCTTAGGCCATCCTTAAAAAAATGTTTGTTTGCAGTAACCCTACCCAGAATTTTCAAGGTGGGTAGGTAGGTCGATTTTTTTTTTTTTTTTTTTTTTTTTTTTTTTTTTATTATTATTATTATTGAACTGTACTCCCAAATAAACATGGAATTTCAAAATGCTGGACAATTTATGCTTTGATAATCTGGTAACAATTAATAAATTGATAAATGAATTCTAATTAAATAATACCTACATTTTATTTCTTCTATAAACCTTTAAAAGAACAAAAACAAAGCACAAGGCATAATTTTCTGATTCAAAAAAAAAATTTTTTATCCAGACCATGAAAAAAACTTTTGAGTAGGGGCAAATTTTGTGAGTCGGTCGCGTTACTGCAAACAAACATTTTTTTAAGGATGGCCTTACCCTATTGAATTTGTGGAATGGACTTGCCCAGCTTTGAATTTGGAACAGTCTATTCAAAGTTTTAGGGATTTCAATATCAACATACAAAATATTAAGCTTCCCTCATTAGATATAAAAGGTTATTTTAGATACTTTAAATTCAGAAACCCCAAATAATTACTAATGGACAGTCCCAAATTCAAAACAGGTAAAGTTTATTATACAAATTTAGGGGTATGATCAGCGAATTATTTTTGGTTGTGAATAAAATGATCTGTTTTATTTTTTCTTTTGATAAAGTTACATAAAACAGTCATGGTGTGTTCCCTGGAGTTCAAAGTGTGTTTTATAGTGATGAAAGTGAACAAAATCATATGTTTTAAAAAGTACAAATAAATTACTAACCCACCATAGAGATATTAGTAATTACTGCTACAGTAATTTGTTCAATGATAAATTTTTGAAACCATGAGGTAGATTCTTAGTATTTTGTATGGTAAATTTGCACCCGGTGAAGCATTTGCGACCGGATCCCTAATGGTGGATATTGGGAGATTCTAACATGTTTTTACCATTTCATTATTTCACACTAACAGTCATCCGCTCTCATCCCTAAAATAATAAGTCGAGATGAATGGGCAGAAATTTGACCCTCTGACTAGGGATTTTCTGGTCCCCAGTCTTCTACTTAATTGGGGCTGGGTTGGGGAAGGGGTTGTAACTAATGACTGCAGATACATACCAATTTTTTTTTTCAGCATACGTTTTCATTTGTTTTTGTAGAATTTAAATTTGTTTTCATTTTAATATTTCAGTTTATATTGGTTTTCTCTGCCTGGAAGATAATCATCAGATTTTCAACTCATTTTTCAGGGGATGCAGATTCGGGAAATGGTTTCTAATTTGGTATATTTATTACTGATTGATCTTATGTAATCAATCTGGGTATACTGGAGGGAATTGAAATTTTATTTTGGTCTTTTTGGGTCAAGGTCACAATAACTGTTGATAAATTAATTGACCAAATATGAAAAGTATTTTTTACCCAAACTTCAGTAGTACCGATGGTTGAGTACCATACACAAAATAATGTACAGTAGGGGCACCTGAGACCCACTTTCACCAGTAAAGCTAGAATGTCATCATATGATTTTTAACAGGGTTATTATTATAAACTGATTGGCGATCCATATCAAGTTGGTTGAAATTCTGTTAAAATCTATTGTATTAAAGCCTGTCTATGAAAATATCCCCTTGACCCTTGGCTAAATCGGTTGTTTTAGTTCGCACATCTGCTGTCTACAATAAAAGTGAAAACCCTGCTTTAAAATTTCATTATGATATTAAATCCAACCAAAAAAAATAGAACATTAACATAATTGAGCCACGCCATGACAAAACCAAGTGCGTTTGCGACCAGCATGGATCCAGACCAGCCTGCACATCCGTGCAGTCTGATCAGGATTCATGCTGTTTGCTATCAGTTTCTCTATTTGTAATAGGGTTTGTAAGCGAACAGCATGGATCCTGATCCAGGCTGGTAGCAAACGCACTTATAATGTTGGTTTTATTATGGTGTCGTGAATTATATAGATGGATAAAAAGAAATGTTTCCACAATATCAAAATACGATCAGGCTGTCTAAGTCGTTTAATGCCTGTTTAAAAGATTTACCCGATCTGATTTATGCTTTACTGTAGAAACTTAGATATGGAAATTGACTTTTCATTTATGATGGAGAGTATATCAGGCTGTATTCCCTATGGGAATTAATGGATACATTTGCTTTAATGGGAAAAATGGCTAGATATCTTGTCTTCGTAAAAAATCTCTGCATATAGACTTTTTCATGTGATATCCATGATTTTATATGAAAAAAAAACTTTTTATGTTGTGAAGTTCGAGTCTGGAATGCTATAAACATAAAGGCAGATTAATTAATTCAAAATTTTTAGAGAGGTTATTAAGTAAGTGCAGCATGCGCTAAAGAATATTTTATTTCTTTCAAATTAAAAATAATGTCATATGAAAATGAAGTTGATTTTCCTTTTATCTTGTTGTTTTTGTTGGGTTTTCTTTTTTTTTTGTGCTTCCGACAGATCACCGTTTTCCAAATTTTTATACTTGTATGAAAAGCTTTAAATGTATAGCACTGATCATACATAGCTGTTAATGAAACTTTTATATCAAACATTATGATATGTATTACTGATAATTAATGCATCTGTTGATGATATAAAGATGTCAGACATTCTAATATATTACTGATATCACACCCCTTATGATGATATCACTAAGTTAGACATTCTGATATAGGCATTTCAGGCAAAATAGGTGATTTTTGTATGATTTCAGGCATAACATATGATATTTGTATGACTTCAGGCATTACATATGATACTTGTATGATTTGAGGTATTACAGTGATATTTGTATGATTTCAGATTTGTATGATTTCAGGCATTACATATGACATCTGTATGATTTCAGGCAGTACAGGTGATATTTGTATGATTTCAGGCAGTACAGGTGATATTTGTATGATTTCAGGCAGTAAAGGTAACATTGGTATGATTTCAGGTATCTATGGTGTTTGGTTTTATGATAAGGATGAATGTAAAAGATTGGGACAAAAACTAAACAAGTAAGTCAAGTAACTGATTATTCAAACTCCACCATATATGTAAATATACCCAGCAAAATAAAAAGTTGAGCTCGAGTTAGGAAAAGACTGCAAAGTCCGTACAGTTAAAAAGCGTGTGTTGTCCTTAAAGCACTTTTTAAGACTACTAACCTTGCAGTCTGAAAAAGTGCTTAAATTTCAGTCCCATTCTGAAAAAGTGTTTAGATATGAAAAATAGTGCTTAAAAGTCTTTGAATTTGGTAAATGTCTCAAAAGTGCATAAAGGGGTTAATTTTGTATGGAAATGTGCTTTAAAATGAACAGGTGTAAAATGTTAATAGTCACCTCAAACTATCTTACTTATTACCAATATTGATAAAAACATTTGCTCAAGGTAGGTTAAGTAACTTTTTTGGAACAAATTGCAACTGGTTTAAATTGGGGGATAGGTGTTCAACAAAAAGTGCTTGAAAAATAGGAAAATGTGCTTAAATAGTGCTTGAATTTGGGCATTGAATGTCTGTATGAACTCTGAATTTATTTAGAGTAACATGCCAGACTATTTTATTTAGTATCTGAGATTGGTTTTACAAGTTATTGAAACCAGGCCTTGGGTCATTTTTCAAGGTTGGAATCTTGTATTATTATACCTAGTGTTAAAACATATTAGACCAAAGGGAGATAACTCTATAGAATGACAGCAATACTGTGCTAGTGTCAAATATCTCTTGAAACCTATTTATTACAGTCACACATATTCAACAGTGTTGTGCAAGAATCATAGATTAAGGAATATTGCTAGATTGAGCATATTTAGACAAATTGGCTACATGATTGTAATACTTTTTATTCTAAATTGACAACTGCAAACTGTTGCCAAAAAAAGTTTTCTTATGTTTTTATACTTTTTATCCAGTTTTCAGCCTATTGTCATGTCTAATTTTTCCCTGGAGTTTATTGTCACATCTAATTTTTTTCCCTTAGAAAACATAATATATTTTCTCTTAGGTGTCTGTGTTATAAACATTTTGTGTACATTAGACACTAAACAACTTCTGCAGAATGTTGGCGAGACATCTTCATGGGGTATACAAGATTATCACTTGTCACCTAGACATATTTTTATCTTATTGACATTTTTTCTATTGAACAACAGCCAAGGATTTTCATGTAAAATTGTAAGTTTCTTGCCCTATCACAGTTTCATAAATGATACAAACTTCGGAAAACCTATATATTAAAGAGCTTTATATATAAGTAAATATCAGTCAGTTTTTGTCCTTTATTCATAATCTCAAAAAGAGTTCTGTGTAAGATTTCCATAAATGTATATGTATGAGCAGACCATCAAGTTTTTTTCTCTCTTTTAAGATGAATGATTTAAAATTTCACCTAAACACATAGTTCTGATGTCAGAAGTTACAATTGATGGCTGTTTGTCCTCCAGCAAGTGTCCTGATAATTGATTGTTCAAGTATCCTCAGAATTGATGACTGTTTGTCCTCCATCAACTGTTTGTCCTCCATCAAGTGGCCTCAGAATTTATGGCTCTTTGTCCTCCATCAAGTGGCCTCAGAATTGATGACTGTTTGTCCTCCATCAAGTGGCCTCAGAATTGATGACTATTTGTCCTCCATCAAGTGGCCTCAGAATTGATGACTGTTTGTCCTCCATCAAGTGGCCTCAGAATTGATGACTGTTTGTCCTCCATCAAGTGGCCTCAGAATTGATGACTGTTTGTCCTTCATCAAGTGTCCTCAGAATGGATGACTGTTTGTCCTTCATCAAGTGTCCTCAGAATGGATGACTGTTTGTCCTTCATCAAGTGTCCTCAGAATGGATGACTGTTTGTCCTTCATCAAGTGTCCTCAGAATGGGTGACTGTTTGTCCTTCATCATGTGTCCTCAGAATGGATGACTGTTTGTCCTTCATCAGGTGTCCTCAGAATGGATGACTGTTTGTCCTTCATCAGGTGTCCTCAGAATGGATGACTGTTTGTCCTTCATCAGGTGTCCTCAGAATGGATGACTGTTTGTCCTTCATCAGGTGTCCTCAGAATGGATGACTGTTTGTCCTTCATCAGGTGTCCTCAGAATGGGTGACTGTTTGTCCTTCATCAGGTGTCCTCAGAATGGATGACTGTTTGTCCTGCATCAGGTGACCTCAGAATGGATGACTGTTTGTCCTTCATCAAGTGTCCTCAGAATGGATGACTGTTTGTCCTTCATCAGGTGTCCTCAGAATGGATGACTGTTTGTCCTTCATCAAGTGTCCTCAGAATGGATGACTGTTTGTCCTGCCATCAAGTGACCTCAGAATGGATGACTGTTTGTCCTGCATCAGGTGACCTCAGAATGGATGACTGTTTGTCCTGCATCAAGTGACCTCAGAATGGATGACTGTTTGTCCTTCATCAGGTGACCTCAGAATGGATGACTGTTTGTCCTGCATCAGGTGACCTCAGAATGGATGACTGTTTGTCCTTCATCAAGTGACCTCAGAATGGATGACTGTTTGTCCTTCATCAAGTGACCTCAGAATGGATAGCTCTTTGTCCTCCATCAAGTAGCTTCAGAATTGATGGCTCTTTGTCCTGCATCAGGTGACCTCAGAATGGATGACTGTTTGTCCTTCATCAAGTGACCTCAGAATGGATAACTGTTTGTCCTCCATCAAGTGGCCTCAGAATTGATGGCTCTTTGTCCTGCATCAGGTGACCTCAGAATGGATGACTGTTTGTCCTTCATCAAGTGACTTCAGAATTGATAACTGTTTGTCCTTCATCAAGTGGCCTCAGAATGGATGGCTCTTTGTCCACTTGGCTTCTTTGATTACCATAAGTGCAGAAAAGTCATTTCAGGATGAAGTTAAAACTATGTCGTATTATTTTACCAAGCTGGCAGTATGGATTAAGTGACGTTTAATAGCTTTTTTAAAAGTAAAAGAGGAAATATTTCTCTTAAGTTGTTAAATAATTATTTATGAAGATGTATGGTAATTTTCCAATCAAATTTTATAAAATGAAACACCATTCAATAGAAAACACAAACACCAATTTGTCTCCTTGTTTTTTTAGTGAAGATATCTCTGTTGGGATTGATTAAACATGAAATATTCACGAGACGATAAATTTTCTTTTGCTTTTAAATTAGTTTGTCTTTTTCTTTGCATAACCTGATTATTAGATGCAATCAAAAATCCATAGTTACTTCTCAGCTAATTCATTGTGAGGAAAGCCTGATTTGAACGGAAAAGGTTTGTATTGTTTTTGTCGAGTATTCAAAGAAATGAAAATTAAAATGTTTTCGCACAATAAAGGAGGAGATTTAGATTATTGGCAAATAAAATATACCAAGTGCTGTTGTCCGTCTGCTTTTTATGTGTGGGACCTTATTTCTATACTGTCTCGCCATACTCCAGAAAGGCTTCTCCGGAAATGTACTCTACCATACATTTTTAGCTCTGCTTACAATGAGGAAAAAAAAATGACCTTATTGTCATAACCCCACTCATCAAAAATGAGGCCAAAGGAGCAGGAAACCATGAATATTTTCAATTTTAGAATTTTCATTGTCCTATAAGATTTTTGCTAAGGTTAAAAAAATCAAAGATATTCAATTAAAACTTGAAATAGTTTAGCTTAACTTTAAAAGGGCAATTTATAGAAAAAAATACATTTTAAATAAATGAATGAATTAATTAATTCTATGCTTATTGAGGGTCCATCTGCAAAGGCACAAAAAGCAGCTTTTTCGTTGTCGAATATGGACCCAAGACATGTAACTAGTCATGCCTGTAGAGGATTAATTTTAAAGCAAAAGTGATGATAATTTACCTCCTTGCAATTTCCATGGAGAACTGTAGCCAGAAATGAACTTTGAGCCTATTATGCCATCAAAGGGCCTGCATTTCGAGCCGTCACTCTGTGCTAGGGGCTCACACACCCCAGCAGACTTTCCTCATTGTTTCTTCCTACGTTGTAGGGCAGGACATCAAGCAGTTTAGTCAAAGGTTGTGATAGAAGCAGATATCCCAGCGATGAAGAGGTAGTTTGGTCTCCAGGACCTACCCTATATGTACAACAACAGCGCTTGAAGCTTAACCAGTCAACATGTCCTTAATGAAAAATCAGCCAAGCTCCAAATCTTCTTCCCATGCCCTGTGCCCTCTCTGTGACATGCAATCAAAGGTTCTCTGGTTTGATACTCAGGCAAGGCAAAATTTCTCTGTGGCAATTGATCATGGCTATTCATTGGTCTCACTGTTTATAAATAAATAGTGGCAGCATGGCCGAGTGGTTAACATGTCGGACTAGTAATCTAAGGATTGCTGACCGCATGGATTCAAACCCCATCAGGGGCAAGTCATTGTTTCCTTGAGCAAGAAACTTTACATTCATTGTTTAGTACTGGTTGGTTCCAGGAACGGATTTGAGGGTGTTTCAATAAGCTTATAGCTTCCAACACAAACTAAAATTTTGTATAAACTAAATAATGATGTGGGATTAGTCACTTTCAGAGAATGTGCTTATTGCTGGTTACCTTTCAAGATATGACCAAAAATGTGTTCAAAATTGGCACAAAGAGCAAACAACCAAACGAACATATTTGTTCTGTAGAAATATCAGTGTCAAGAATTGTCTCCAAAGCTGTGACATCATACCTTACACTAAGTGTAATAAGATTAGGAAAGAGAACTGACTTGCATTATACAGTCAGCAATTTAGATAGGAGATGCAGAAATGGTGTTACATGAGTGTGAAATGTATGACTGTATATTAATTGTCTTGTCAGGTAATATTGTATAGGAATTGTTCTACGACTGTCATTCCGACAGCTGTATGTTTGGCACAGATTCAGGTTTTACCGTTCACTGTCCTAATTACATCCTAGTATACCTGAACCTCACCTGTTCATTACTGTAAATTCAGTTAAATTTTGCGGGTATTAAATTTTGTGATTATAAAGAAATGGAGTTGCCCTATTTTGAAATTTTGACCTGCCCATTGTTAATTTTAGGGAGTAAAATAATGATTTTACAGTTATGATATTGTGCAGCAAAGGTAATAGATTTAGCCAGAGTGGATTACATGCATGTACTGGCTGGCCTAACAATATATACAGTTGACTCTCAATAAGTCAAAATCGCTTTACTCAAAATTCCGCGTTAGTCGAAGAATTTTTAAAGTCCTGCAAATTTCCTTCTTTATCTTTGTATTTTAACTCCGCTTAGGTCAAATTTTGACTTACCGAGACTCCTGTTTAGTCGAAAAGAAAATTTGGTCCCGTCAATTAAAGTCCAACATATTTTCATTTCAATTAGTCGAAGTGTGAAAACAGACGACTGATCAAAGGTCGGCGACATCAAGGTGAGATGTTGTCATCGTGATTTACACGTCCATGAGTATTTTTAATTGGTCACATGATATACACTGAAAGGGTTAATCCTTTCAGCCTTATTGGTTTTACTAGTAAAATTCATGTTAAATAAAGGTTTTGCGGGTATTAGTCAATAACAGCCTAGTATTGATATCACGTAAATGAAATTGGAAGTTTGTCATATACATTTTTTGTACTTCCGTCCTATATTCATCCTATGTTTACCTGAACACTCAAACTATTATTACCTGCCATTTGTTAATTCGGGTAGGATTATAAGCATGAGTTGGTCCTAAATTTACCTAATATATAAAACTGATTTTACAGTTAGTGATATTGTGCAGCAAAGAGTAATAGATTTAAGCCAGAGCGTGGATACATATTGTATCTGGCTGAGTCCTAACAATATATCACTGTATTGATATACATAAAAAACACATGTATGTACATCAAACACAAGTATAAACATATAATATTATACTGGTTACATAGGTAAAATTGAAATCTACAAAAAAATGGTCAAAAATAGAAATGTTAAGGAAATCATAGTGGCAAAATAAGAAATGTTGCGGACTTGGTTTCATTTAGCCTGTTACGGGTATTTGTTGTTAATTCAAGCTACTGTCCACACTCCCTATTTGTAAAATTCAACATATAAACATGAAAATGGAGAAATTTAATCTAAAAGCATTAGCAGATGTGTTCATATTGAGATCATGACAGAAGTTTCAATGTGCCATTCCACTAAAAGCAGGGTATTTGGCTGAAATGACAAAAACAATGGGCGGAATTAAATAAAATTGAATTTAGAAACTGTATTTGTATATTTTGGGAGGAAACATTCTTTCTTTCTTAATAAGTAAATCATCAATGGTTAGGCTTTACTAATAAAAATATATGTACAATGTACAAATTTCAACAAATATGCGGATTGGCTTATAAAGCCACAGTTGATAATGATTTTACAGTAAAATCTATTCATACTTAATTATATTTCAACATTTCTAATTATACAAAACTAGATGTAATTATTGCTATTATTAGATACTATGTTCTCTAAAAGAAGCGGGAAGCGAAGTTCATGTAATGAATTAAAATTGATTAAATTTGACTTATAAGATGTTGACTCCAACACAATATTTAAGGTTGTACAATATGTTGGTAAGGTTTTTGTCTGTGAACTGATCTACAGGGGTGAGAATATGTAGGAAGTTATGACACTCTAGAGGATATAAGACATAACTATATAATAAAAAAACTGGACATAAAATTATACCCCCTTGTGGCTAAGGGGCCTTTAAGGGTTGAGGCATCAGAATTGCAGCCACTGTTTATCCCTGCTTGATCTTAGAGGCAGCTAAATGAGTCAAATTACTGAAGTCTATGCATTTCTTAACTCCAGCAAGTTAGGTGGTTTGATCCTTGGCGTTGCTTTAAATAACACCTGAGGTTAGCCGAAACCATCTTTCCTGTTTTGGCACCAGAAACCTAAATTGTGCGCTGTAAAACCAAACAGATTAGCAAAGCTTATATACAAATTTAGCATTACCATAAAAATTTCAGCATTGGAAAAACGAAGATTTTGATTTTAATAGCGAAATATACTAAACCAAAGGTCATCAAGTTTTTGACAATATTTCTACTTGATAATTATTATATTATACACATCATGTACATTGATATGATTGTTATCTTTCAGTTATGTACAGGATATAATAGCTGATCAGCAGAAGAAAGAAGCTCCAGCAGTTGGTGGAGTGGGCGGAGCTACAGCAGGACACGTCGTCGGAAGTATGGCTGGCATGATGCCAGTTTCTCAAGTTGACATCATGCAAATGCTGTCAAAGGCACAGAAAGAATATGACACAGTAAGCCAGGTTTTTGTATTCATTTATTTGAAATTAAGTATAAGGATCAGTATTTAAGCTGCACGTCTCCAGATGAACAAAAAAATTTGAAGAAAATCAAACTTTCAGGTATCACTTTCTTTCTATTTTTTCTATGCCATCTGTTTCAAGCCAGGCAAGAAATTTACTATCAATTCATGCTATTTTGAAGGTTAAATTAAATAAATTGAATCAAAAATGAATGAAAAATTCATATATTATATATATATAGCTTGATTAAAGGTCAATGCTTTCTTTATATTTCAGGGGTCTAAGAAGACTGAGCCAAAACCCATGATTGATAATCCGAATGCGTCTGCTACAAAATCCACTAACCTTATTAGACCGCAGCCACTGAAAATGCCAGACTCTGAGGCTACTGAAATCTCGGGTAAGTTGACAGGCGTTGCTCGTTTAAATCCTTCATCCATGACCTGCTGAAAAATGAAAGTGTTAGCCTTTTGCCACCAGGATAGAGCCAGGGGAGCCTGCACAATGAGAAAGGCTAGCTTGCACAATTAGAAAGGCTCTCCTGCGCAATGAGAAAGGCATGCTTGCACAATGAGAAAGGTTGGCCTGCACAATGAGAAAGGCTAGCTTGCACAATGAGAAAGGTAGGCCTGCACAATAAGAAAGGCGAGCTTGCACAATGAGAAAGGCTGGCCTGCACAATGAGAAAGGCTAGTCTGCACAATGAACAATGAGAATGATTGGCCTGCACAATGAGAAAGGTTGGCCTGCACAATGAGTAAGGCTAGCTGTACAATGAGAAAGGCTAGCCTGCACAATGAGAAAGGCTAGCCTGCACAATGAGAATGATTGGCCTGCACAATGAGAAAGGTTGGCCTGCACAATGAGTAAGGCTAGTCTGTACAATGAGAAAGGTTGGCCTGCACAATGAGTAAGGCTAGCCTGTACAATGAGAAAGGCTAGCCTGCACAATGAGAAAGGCTAGCTTGCACAATGAGAATGATTGGCCTGCACAATGAGAAAGGTTGGCCTGCACAATGAGTAAGGCTAGCCTGTACAATGAGTAAGGCTAGCCTGTACAATGAGAAAGGCTAGCCTGCACAATGAGAAAGGCTAGCTTGCACAATGAGAATGATTGGCCTGCACAATGAGAAAGGTTGGCCTGCACAATGAGTAAGGCTAGCCTGTACAATGAGAAAGGTTGGCCTGCACAATGAGTAAGGCTAGCCTGTACAATGAGAAAGGCTAGCCTGCACAATGAGAAAGGCTAGCCTGCACAATGAGAAGGCTAGCCTGTACTGTGTAATATGCATGTATATAATATAAAATATTTGCATTCTCATGTTAAAATCAGAAGTTCTAGATTTATAGGTTGAAAATCAAGTGTTTCCTTGTCAAGAATCTAGAAGCTCGATCAAAAATTTAGTTATATTTTTCTCATACGTCTTCAAACTGGTATTTGGTATCTAAAAATAGTAATACATCAGAATTTCTTGTGTCTATCTCCACCAAATAAAACAGGAGACAGCTTAGTTGAGATTTTATTTCTTTGTTGTTTATTTTAGAAGATGCTGTTGGAAGTGTGACGCCTGGTACCGGTATCATAACTTTGGATGCTTTGTTTCGCACTGCTAGTTTACAGCAGGGAACCAGTACCCAGAAAACACCGTCAGCAAGTCAAGCACAAATGGAAAGGTATTTTAGCTTGATAATAGGCCTGTTACTATAGATTTATTATACTAAAAATATAAGAGCTTCCCTACTTGAAGCCAGGGGCATTGGTCTGGTGGTGTTTTAAGTTTGAATACCCGTTACTTCAACAAAAGTTACGAATTATTTATAGGCAAGGCAATTTTTGAGAAATGTTGAATGAATTGAAAAGCCTATATTGCAAGTAAACACTAAGAATAAACTAATTTTAATATTATATACATGTATTTAAAAAACAACATAACATAGACTTTGGTATTGTTTTACAGTTATAGAGGAGGATCTTTAGTTCTTTTTTAAAGCAGTTATAGATAAAGTAAAGGTTGAATGCAGTTTTCAGACAATAAATTTTCAGATAAGTTTTGCTATGTGATCCCGCAAGAACATTTTGGAGTAAGCAGTAAAATTCTAATATAATAAAAATGCAATAAATTTATATCATCCCACCTCCAGATCCTTGATCATGTTCATGAAAATTTAGAAAGTTGTCTGAATGTTTGAACTATTATCATGTGACCAAATTATTTAAAATGATTTGAGTTTCACTGTTCTGGAGTAGCAGAGCTTCAAGGATAAAGATTTATTTCAATGACCCATAGATTTTTTTTTTTTTTTTTTCAGAGGGGGGGGGGGGGGGGGGGGGAGAGAGAGGTGGAGGTTATAGGGATTGGTTAGAAATGATAGATAAAAATCATGTAGGTTTTCAGACCCATTTACAATATATTGGTTTCTCTGAATGACATTATAAATTATTATAAAAGATAAAAACATTTTTTTATAACTTTTATCCCAGTAAAGTTGCATGTTACTATAATGCCTCATTTATAACGGACATATTTAATGCAAGAACATGTAATCTAGGCACTTGTCCAATGGTTGTAATCTGGCAGAGTTAAGACTTTAACCAGACATAGTGGAAATCTGGATCAGGTTTTTGGAAACTGATTTTAAAAAAACTATTCCTGTTTTATAGAATGTAGGGTAAAGAATTGATTAATTGGTTCACAGATATTATGGGGGGAAAATATAAATCTTTGTTCATTCTGTTTTAAAATGAGAATTGTGAATTTATACGTTTAATTGTTGTGTATATAGAAATTCACAACTTTATTTAGGATTGAAATTTTTATTGTCTAATTCTTTTCTGAAATTTGACAATTTTGATTAGGTGTCGGAGATTTGAATTTCAGTTAGACCTATGTTTAACACGTACTGTTTCAGATTCTTTGGCAAAATCTTGCCAGTGCTATTATATTAAGAGTTTGATCAGTCTGCATATCTCAAGGCAAAAGCCTCATTTTGAAATATGACATAATTGCCTAATGACCTTGACCTTCAAGGTCAAAATTTCTTATTTGAGGAGAATGTAGACATCAAAACCCCTCATATTCACATTGGAAAAAAAATAAAAGCAGAAGATTTATATTATGCAAATATAGGATGGGAAAGATTATAATGACCATTTATTAAAATATCATTGTGTTACCCACAGCTTATTTAAGTGTTACAGTATCATATGGTAACCATTTTTTTTTTCAGGAATTCATTTATATCTTAAATGATACTATACTTCGTATCACAGTCTTTGACTTCATATTACGAAACTAGGTCAATGGCTTTACACAGGTGTCTGTTTGTGCATAAAAGAAAAATAATTCTGGAAGATGCACCTGAGGTCTTCCTCCACAAATAAAGTTGCAAAGTCGCCATGATTTTTAAGACCTTTCACATTGTCCCTGAGACTTAAAATCAACAAAAGCAAATATTATAATCAATTACTTTAAAAAAAACAAAACCTTCTCACATTTTGATTTATTTAATCATTTATATATTAACATTCCATAGTTGTTGTAACTATCTTCATAAAAGAGCTAAAGAAAGAAAAAGATTTGTCATTTTTTCGGATAAGAAAAAATTACCGGTATCTTGTCTCATGCAGTGAAGTGCATAATAGCTACCAGATATATATTATCGTAAAAAAAAGTATAAAAAGCACACGGGAGATGGTGTCTGTAATTGTAACATAGATCTGCTTGAACTTCTTGTATGTCAAGATAGGAGGTGAAAAAATGCCACATTAGAGATGTGCATTATAGCATTGAATGTGTACACTAAGCACCTGACGTGATGTGTGTGTGTGTGTGTTTTTTACTTGTACTTAAAGAAATCAAACCAAAAAAAAAAAAGAGAGAAGATGCAAAAAAAAATCTTTAAAGTTTACCTGACGTGATGTGTGTGTGGTTTTTTACTAGTACTCAAAGAAATCAAACTAAAAAAAAATACCAAAAAAAAGAGAGGTGCAAAAAAAAATCTTGAAAGTTTATGTTTCTTAGGTTAGACTTGTGAAAATATGTTTGAAATTGTTTTCAGCTTACACTAAAACCAGAAAATCAAGAGATTGGTTTTATCTATTTTACTTTTCTTTGAATCTTAATCTATGTTTTTAGGGAATTGAAAAGTTATTGTCAGTGTTTTCGAAATTTAGTTTAACCCTCAGCCTACTGGCGGCAACTGAATCTACCTATGTGACCAGTGCAGACAAAGATCAACTGGCACATTTGTGCTGTGTGATCATGACCTGCACTGTTTGCTATTTGGTTAGTTAATATTTTGAAATTTTCGATTATAAAGATAAATGATTTTATTCCGAAGATGTTTAGTGTGGGAAGAGTTAACAAGGTTAAAACACCTACCTTTGTTATCTACCTTATGCATCAATAGACCATTGAATGTTGAGATTTTAAAATGCACCGTCAAAAAAAAAATATATATTAATGTATTAAAATTATCACTTTTTCATTACTTTTCTTATTAGCTCACCTGAGCATAAAGTGCTGTTGTGATGTAAGAGTGTTGTCTGTCATCAATTTCCACAATTTCTATCATACCTCCGAAACCACCTTTGCCCTTTTCTAGCAATGTATCTTAAAAGAGCGATCTAGGACCATCATGGCTCTCTTGTTCTTTGTGATTTAGCAAATAAGTGCTTGCTTAATTGAAATGACAATCTACTTAAGTAGTCATCTTCCATGTTATTATAGTATACTGAGATACTTCATCAAAATTAAAAACAAAACGCTAAGAATATTTGTCAGGAGAGACAGACATTTGTTGTTAGCTAAACTGTTACTGATATTAGCAGTTTTATGTTTTTGTTGGTGTAATTATGTGAAAATAGAGATGTAGTCATTATTTGAATTGCACTCAAATAAATATAGATGGCTTCTTTTCTTTTCTTAGACTTGAAATGTTCTTCTTTTCTTGAAGTAACTTGATTTTAATCTCTTTATTTCAGCTATTTCCAGACAAGTAGCCTTGAACAAAAAGTGAGGTCCGCAACAGCTCCCAGCAGGCAGATTTCTGTCGACAGAAACAAAAGTGAGAGCGACGATCTGCCGCCACTTCTGAAACACATCATGTCGACAGGCTCGATGGTTGAGGACATTGAACGTCAGCAAATTCCTGGTGGCGACGGACCTGGCGATGATGCAGGGATTAAACTCGCCCAACTTACTCCAGGAATTCCCGATTTAACGCAACCCCCTCCGAATCATCCGGCATACAGAGGTCCGTCTCCTCAAGCTAGAAAATCTCCCATGGACATGTATAGTGGCGGAGGAGGAAGACCTAAAAGTGCTTCTTACGCTGAAACAGTTTTACAAAGTGAAAAAGGACAAGTTCCTCAGATATTGTCTGGGAATATATTACCTATGTTTAGTGGTTCTGTACCGTCTAGTCAGTCAATGAATGCTCAATCCATGCCCTCATCAAAGAAACTTTCTCCCGAAACAATGTTTCGGAGTAGGAAGTCACCAAAGGACGATATTGAGTTGGTACCAAGACAAAAAGTGGACCCATCTTCAGTATTAAAATCAGCGCCGTTATTGACCCCAGCAGATCTTTTACAATCATCATCATTGTTAATATCATCATCAATTTCATCATCAGCAACAGTCACAACAACAACAACATCTTCATCATCTCTTGTAATGGACAAGGTGGGTTGATATATTTTCATTCATCAAAGTTTAAGAATATTTTTGAAAATTCTAAAAGTTGTGTTTGTTTAAGAGCGTGATGGCCATCTTATTAAATTTAGGTTTTGTTTAATAGCTTGATGGCCATCATACTAAATTTGAGTTTGTTTATAAGCCTGATGGCTATTATACTAAAGAGTTTGTTTAATTAATACTGAATATGATTTGTATAATAGCCTAATGGTCATTATACTAAATTTGTGTTTGATTAAAAACCTGATGGCCATCATACTAAATTTGTGGGGTTTTCTTTAAATAGCCTGATGGCCATTACACTAAATTTGAGTTTGTTTAATAGCCTGATGACCATCATACAAATTTTTGTGTTTTTTTAACTAGCCTGATGGCTATGATACTAAATTTGAGTTTAAAACCCAATAGCCTCATCATTTGTCATCCAGTATAATTGTCAATTTCAGTAAACAATATTTCTTCATGTAGGCTTCAACTAAACAAATATATGTGATCTAATAAGGTTGTCTTGTACATGTGTTCTATAAATGGTTATGGTTTGATACATAAGAAGGTCACTTGAGCTAAAAATAATTTCTATTGGATTATACATCTTCATGTCAAAAACTACATGGCCCAAAACTCAGTTGTTTAGTTACACTGCCTCTGGAGTGTAATATTGGCCATTATTTTGGGGTCACTAATACATGGAAAAACACAATCTTGTCTAAATAGTCAAGAGTTTGTAGCATGGTGTAACCACTACACAAGTTAAATAAATCTGATTAAGCATGATGTTGAAAATAATGTATTGCATCGCCATTTTACAGGTCTTTCTCCCTGTTTAAATAGTTAGATCTCCATTCTAAATTGAAGAATAGTGCTGAGTCAGTTCTATGCCTTGTGTTCCCTCGGACATTTGCCCCCTTATTTTGCAAATGTTGGCCCTTCAACATTTGGGGGTGGGGTGGCAATGTTCACCCTTTCAAAATAAATAAGGGTGCAAGGGAAATGTTCGGGGGTGCAAGGGGGAATGATTGTCTGAGGAAGCAAATGTCCCTTTTCCGACTGGGTCCATTCATAGTTTAATTTTCCTCAACTCATGTAATTTTTCCCAAAGATACTACTAACAAATATGTAGAGAATTTTATTTAATTCAAGAGTTAGAAATAAACAAGGACAATTTTATGCTTCATCCATTACTTTGCCCATCAAGAATGTACTTTAATCTTAGCAAAAAAAAAAAGAAAGCCTTTTAATCTAAGATATTCGTTAACACGTGCATACACTTACTGCAATATCAAGATGGTACGTGAAAATATGACATTTGGTGTTTGGCCAATCAACGAAAATGCTGATATTTATATATATAAATAAACCTCACAAGATCTATAATCTGCAAATTTCACAAGAATATTAAAAGTGCAGCTGTGAGTAATTCATGATAATTTGTAAATGTTAATCTTTATTGTTTTCAATATTGTTAGAGGGGTTCTTATCATATTTTTGGAAATCATGTTAATAATTGAATTTTCAATATTTCGACCAAACAAAGTTGACCACTGGTCTGTGAGAAAAAAATATTAGGGAATAATGACTTGGCATTGTTTTTTTGATCAATTTTTATTTTAAGAACCAGTTTGGGTTTGGGAGTGGGTTAAGATAAATATTTGCTGTTGAAAAAATTTAATCTATGTCTTTGTCTTGTTTTGGAGTGAGTTTAGATTAATATATGTGTTAAAAATTTTGAACAAGTGTTTGAGCTCTATATCCTTCCTGGCATTTCCTAGTTTTGAGATATAGAACGAAACTGAAAAGGAGCACCTTTGATCTGAACAGATATTGATAACCTTATCTCTGCTCTGTTTTAGTATAATGGTTTTCTTATAATACGTTTATACTGAATTTATTTGAGTTTTGATAGCATAGGAAGCTATAAGCTTATAGACACATACTTGAATACTTTCTAGGAACTACCCAGTACTAAGCAATCAATATAAAGTTCCTTGCCAAAGAAACAATGGCATAACCCTGATGGGATTTGAACCCGATCCTTAGATCATTAGTCTAACGCTTAAACTACTCAGTCATGACACCATTAATGTTATTAGTGTGGAAAATAGAAATAAAACCAAAAAAGGCTAGCACTTAATAAAAAATGTCAAGTTACAATAGACAATTAGATGCAAGAGAATAGACCAAGTTCCAAGGTCATTAGATTCAAGCAAAGTTCAAGCATTGAAGAGTCTCTAAATATTTTAACGATAATGCAGTTTTTGTCAGGAATTTCCTGTTTAATTTGATTTTTTTTGCATGTAAGAGAGATGTTTAACTAATGTTGAGTTCTTGCACATTTTATGCTATACCAGTAGGTGGCAATGTTTTGTTTATAGCATATAAACAGGATGAATTCATTAGATATAAAATTTCTCTTTTAGCATGTCAGATGTCAGAATGTTGTAAGGTGATTAGGTACATAATTATAGTTTTTATCCAAGATGATAACAGATGCTACGCAGATTTGATTATAAACATCTCACTTTGCACGTTCTTTTCTTTTTTTGTTGATAATTTAATGGAAAGAGATTAAAAACACCAAATTTTTTTGGATAAATTTTAGAGAATTTATTTGAGCCGATTCTAGCAAGTTTTCTGTTTTTGGTTTTTGTGGAGTTACCTGGTGATGTCAGAGAAATGATGTCATAAAACAAGGCACAAGGTCGTAACTTGAATGTCGGGGGTCATTTGTTGTTGGTAATATGAAAAAGTTAATGTCAATTACTCTGTTACCAAAACTAACTGTTAATTTGTTTTATTCCTTAACATGCTGGGGAAAAAAGGTGGTATAAGACATTGCCACTGGTAAAGGGCCACTCAGCCTGTATATCTGCCTGTGCAGTGTGACCAGGCTCTATACTGTTGGGTAGCTCAATTGTTGGTTTTATAATACGGAACTCCCTAAATCTTTGATTGGATCATTCCAAATTCATTACACAAATTCAGCAAATAAAGAGTTACTGCTAATATTATTGACATTATGACAGGTTTAACAAAATGATTCTGAAAAAAAAGTCTATTTTTACACCACAAGGAATGGCAAGATGCTGCTCATGCAAACTTTCTATACTTACAAAAAAAGTTTTTATGCAATTTTAGCCTGATACAGAGCAAGGTTTTAAAATTATATTTTGCACTTTTTCAACATTAATGTTGTATTTGTTCATTTCAGCCAATGAATCCAAACTTTGCTGCTGCTGCGGCCTCACTTACAACAGAATTACTATCACCTATGGCTTTCCTAACATCATCAGTGCGGAAAACTCCACCTGCTACCAGTGTTTCAGGTTGGTACTTCCGTTTATGTCTTGTTAATGCATTTAACCATTGCCTTGCTAGAACCAAAGTGATTTGCCTTTGCCATCAATATAGAGGGCAGACAGCGAAGCCAAGTGAGGTAGCTATCCAGGTAGTTTATGGAACGTCAGTGGTTCTACTACTCTGGTGCCCGAAATAATGCATGGAAGTGCACCTGAGGTCTTCCTCCAACAGTAAAAGTGGAAAGTCCCCATATGACCTATACTGGTTTCCTAGCAGCCTCCCTCCCCTAGCAGTTTTCCAGCCCTTTAATTATTAGGCTGAATCAAATTGTGACAAATGGCCTTCAATCTGTAATTGATACCAGTAATATATGTCTCTTGATTATGTATTGTAGAAAGATCATCATTTGAGGAGAAAGTTGACCACAGCAAGGATTCAGACATGTTACCTGTAGCTGCATTAACAAAGGAGCAGTTACAACAAGCTCTCTTGTATTTATTAAAGGTGAGTTTCATTTGTTTTAGGGGTTCTTTTACAAACTATAAGTTTATCTTCAAACAAGTGCTCAACATGTGCCAGAAATAATCTATGTTAGGGCACCTGAGGTCTATCTCAACTGGTTTTATTGTAGAAAATTGGTCGGTTTAGTTTTAATTAACATTGAACCAGTAAAATTTGATGTCTACTGGCAAACATGTCGACTGACAAAAATGTCAAATGGCAAGTTTTCAGCGTAACTGATGTAGGTATACCCAAGTTGCCCGGACACCAGCATGATTTGCAACCATTTGTAAGGTGGCTGGATAGCTTCCTCACATGAAAGAACACAAAGCCCTAAGCCTATAACTGTGAGGGGAATGTGATTCTCAAAGTCAGTGACTTTTACAAGTTGGACATGGCAACAACACCTTAGCTAGTATCAGCCTTCATGTTAGCATGGAGTTGGTTTATCATAACAATAATTGTGTCATTTTTAGCTCCACTATTCGAAGAATTGGAGTCACAGTCACTGTCTCACTTCAGTTAAGTTTTTGCGAGAAAGATGATATCTAAATAAAGACGACTAAACTATTTAAGGGATTTTAATGTAAATGTTCACTTTGATGAGACTGGACATTTGTTATAAGGGTATTTAGTGACAGTAGCATTCATTTTTCTTATTTTTTTCAGAACGACAGCAGTTTTATCAGTACTATTCACGAAGCTTACCTTAAAAGTCTACAAGAACTCTCGGGACAAAAATCATAGCAGTAGAACATGGACACCACCACTACAACGTCTTGTGATCCAAAGAAAATGACAATCTTGTACCCGCTGGAGAAAATACCCGCTGGCTACCAATGCATATTTTAGAAAAAATCAATTTGTTGTGTGAAAACTTGTGGTCATTTATTGCCAAAGTGTTTGCACATTTATCATACCAATCTGCATGACTTATCTTTAACATCCCTGCACTTTTTGAAGAGTTACTTCCCTTACAATTTATGAATTATCTGGACTTCTAGGATGGATGAATATGATTCTTTGTTATATATTTACTTTTTGAGGATTTGTGTTCTGTTAAACCTTACAGAGTGATTTCCTGTTTATATACACAAACTAATTTTTGTGTTAAAACTTACAGAGTGATATCCCCTGAATACATACTACTTAAAGTTACCTCCCTTTTCATGGACATGTCTGCTCAACAGAGTTATCTACCTTATCAATACAGACTGATCTCTACATTACAAAGTGATCTCCCCTTTTATTGGAGATATTAAGCCTTTAAGGCAAATTCATTAGAGTTACTGTCCTTAGTATGAAATGAACTTTGACCTTTACATACTAAGGCAACCTAGTCTCATTGGGCAAAGAAGAGTTATGTTCCTTGAACTATAAATGTTTTAAAGCATGATATAGTGCTTCAGATTTGTGACAATTGTGTTCAATTTGTTATATATTTATCATTTGTGTTCTAGATATAGTATTATGTAGTAAGTCCTATGTATTTTTACATGCCTCCTGGTATTTGTAAAGTGCCATTTTGTACATTTTTTTTTAGTAATAATTGTATTTTATTGTTGATGTTTTTTATTATCTTAAGCTATAAGTATGGCCTCATGTTTGGTTTGCCAAAGTTAGATAAATATTGATGAACAGTTCAATAGATGTTTATGTTATGTGGCTCTTTTTAGCTCATCTGTTTGAAAAAAATAAAAAGTCGAGCGATTATGATCGATTGCGGTGGTGGAGGTGTTATCGTGCAAAAAAACTTTAATGTAGCCCAGTACTCAAACATTGGGTGCCTACATGAAACTTGGATTACTTGCTTATCATGACAAGGTGCAGATGTGAGGTAAGGGGCATAATTCTGAAAGTGATAGATTTCTTAGTTATCCCCCTTTTTAATTTAGATTTTTTTTGTCAAAAGTGGTAACAACAGCATGCAGTTCTATTGTGTTTCCTTTAATATTGTCAGTTTTAGTGAAAACCCCACAGTGTGTTTGTATATGATAAAAAAAGAAATGTGCCAAGTTCAAAAAAAATGTGCTGGTCTGATCTATTCCCAGTATAAAGTGTGACCAAAAATTTTATTGCAAACCCTAATGATAGAATTTTTATAGTGGAAGAAATAAGAAGCCACTGATAAAAAAAGATTATCTTGGAAACTTCACACATGTTCGTTCAGTGTAATAGCTTTAGGTAAATGACCAAGACCCATAACTCTAGCATTGATTTCCAGTGAATTATTCCCCTTTGCGAACTTTAAAATTCCTTCTATTTTTCAGGCTCTTGTTTTAATACTGGGCTCGAAGTAAAGTTATGTGACCATCTGCAATAAAATATGAAAACTTTTTTACCCAAACATTTATGATCATTTATACCTATCAGGAATAAAATTTACTCTTAAGACTTCTGTCCCAATTTTAAGACTTGGTCAAAAAAAATATGAATTCTATGTTGTTATTAAATCAGTCAGTCAGACCAAGGTCATTTTTTTGTCGCCTTGGTACAGTTACCGGGTAACTTCTATACAATTTTAATAGGAGTTATCCCATAAGTGCACTAAGGTTTAAGCTTTTAGTTTATATGGGCTTTTAATACAGGTGTCGCGGCATTGTGGAGTTCTTAACGCGTCAGACTAGTAATCTAATGATTGCTAGCTGCATGGGTTCGAACCATGTCAGGAGCAAGCCGTTGTTTCCTTGAGCAAGAAACTTTATACTCATTGCTTGTACTGTTTGGTTCCAGGAACGGATTCGAAAGTGTGTCTATAAGCTTATAGCTTCCTACACAATCTAAAATAAATTCTGTATAAAACAAAACAGATGTCAGTAAGCAATCAAGGTTCACACAAAAATGTGTTTCTATTTAATATTGATGCTTTATTTTGTGATATGTAAATTAGCATTGAATTAGTAAATTTTGTGTAAATAATTCAGAACATTTAGTTAATTGTATGCTCATTAAATAACATGAAGTTGTTGTTGTTGTTGTTGTTGTTGTTTTTGGTAACTTGTCATGACTTATCATAAAATATCTTTATTCATCTTGTGTAAAGGGAAGTAATTGAAGATGATTTCAATGTGAATTTTCTCGACATTGTTACTTCTTAGATTATTAAGTGTCCACATGATTTTATCAAATGCATTATGAAATACAAAGTGTTTTATTTATTGTTGTTTTATATTATTCTTTTTTTTATGATATCACAAAGTTTGTGTATTTTTATCAACCCTCATTTATGATTGATATGATGATAAGTTTATGATGATTCATGATGTTATGATCTTATATTTATGATGGTTCATGATCTTAATTGATGATGATTTATGATCTTATATTTATGATGGTTCATGATTGTATAGTTATCATATTTATGATGGTTCATGATCTTAATTGATGATGATTTATGATCTTATATTTATGATGATTCATGATGTTGTTTTTATGATGATTCATGATCTTATATTTATAATGATTCATTTTCTTATATTTATGATGGTTTATGACATTGTATTTATGATGATTTGTTGCATTATTATATTCATAATGATTCATGGCATTATTTTCATGATGATTCATAACCTTATATTTATGTACAAAATTATTTAGTCTTGCTTTTGTATTTGTTATTATGATGATATCTGGTCCTGAAACTTCAATGTTGGAAGCTTGTTGTTCAGGTTAAGGTTGTTTAAAGTATCTTTTGATTTTTTCAGATTTGTGTAAGAGATGTTTAGTCTATTGACTTAATATGAGAAACTATGAGTATGATTTTGCCATGAATTGAACAATGAGTATGATTTTGCCATGAATAAGACTTGAAATTGGAAAATATGAGTATGAGTTTGCCATGAAAAAGACTTGAAATGGGAAACTAAGAATATGATTTTGCCATAAATAAGGCTTCAAATTGGAAATTATGAGCATGATTTTGCCATGAGTTAAGCTTGATGGGATATGCTGAGTATTTTTTTTTTCATGTCGATTAAAACTTGAAATGTGAAACTTTGAGTAAGATTTTTGCCATGAATTAGGCTTGATGGTAAATGTTGAGTATGACTTTGTCATGAAATAGACATGAAATGGGAAACTATTTGTATGATTTTGCCACGAAAAAGACTTGAAATGGGAAACTATGAGTGTGGTCTTGCCATGATAACAAGAATAGAACTATTTCCCTGTTATTGATAATGGAATATTCCAGTCTATTGAACTGACATTGATTTAAGTATATTCAGGTATTTTATCCTGACATACCTGCAGCAATATTCAAGTCATATATCATTAGATGAAGTATTCCAGGGTATATTACCCGGACATCCATACAAAGATATGTAAGTCTACAGCCCAGAAATAAGATGATGTATTGCCTGGTATATGACATTAAATGAAGTATTCAAGGGTATATTACCCGGACATTCATTAAGGGACATTCTAGTCTCTTAAACTGACATTTATTGAAGAATATCCAGGTACATCACCCTGACATTCATGAAGGGATATTCAAGTCTACTGATCTACTATAAAAGAATTTTATCCTGATATTCTATATTGACATTGATAAAGGGATATGAATGTCAATTATACAGATGAAAAGGGATACATTTGTATATGCTTATAAGAAGAGACAAGTGACATTGATGATATTTGTCCTGACATTAAATGAAGGACATTCTTACATTAAATAAAGAACATTCTTACAACAAAAGAGGTATACATAGGTATATAACCTTAACACTGATATAAAAAAAAATCTTCAAGATTTGAAAAAGGGATATATGCTTATAAAAAAGAGACAATTTGTGAAATCTTTTGTGCATTTATATCATTGACAAAAGTATTTGACTGTTTCGTGCCAGAAATGGTGCTTTTAAAGATGGAGGAAATTAAATTGATATGATGTTCATTGGTGCTTTGTATGGTTGTGCTACAAGCTATATCCTTGTTTATTGTGAAAATTTGTTTAATAAGGTGATATTTATTGAAATTATGTTGCATTATGGTATGCAGCCAAATTGTACTTTATCTAACTGAGTACTGAAAAATGGCAAGATGTATGGAAGGTAACAAAGAAGTTGAAAAATGGAGATAGTGAGTTTAGGTGCCGTAAAGTTTTATTTGTTTGGTCTTAATTTGGAGGTGGTCTCAAAGTAAGGTTTGACATGAAATTTATCATTATCCTTACCTTGGGATGATTTTGATACAGATGATCAGCAAGAAATACACAGATGTGTCAGATTAGTTTTTGAATGTGTATTTGAATAACGTGATGAATAAACTTAACCCTTAACCTGCTGGAATCAAAAGTGATTAGCCTTTGCCACCAGTATAGAGCCAGGCCAGCCTGAACTTCCGTATAGTCTGATCAGGCTCTATACTGTTGGTAGCTCAATCTTTATATTTTGATGTTGAAATCCCTTTAAGCTTTAATTGGACTGTTCCAAATTGAAAGCTGGGCAAATCCATTATATAAATTCAGGAGGTTAAGGGGTTGAATATTATGTTTGTACGTCTGCTATGTGATGTTGTGTTTTTAATAATGAGATTGTTTTATGTTGTGTTGTTATTTATTGTGTGAGCTCTAGCGGGGACAGTAACTGGCTTTTAGCCACCAGTCTAGAGCTACACATTTCTGTGGTGTCTGAACACTTACAGGCTATACTATAGGTTGTAGAATATTGTCAAAAGTTGAGCATAAAATGCCTGAAATTTAAAGTGGACTTAACCCGTAACAAGCTGAAACCAAATGTGACAAGCCTTTGACACCAGTAAAGAGCCAGGCCAGTCTAATATACAGCCAGGCCAGCCTTATACAGAGCCAGGCCAGCCTAATATAGAGAAAGGCCAGCCTAATATACAGCCAGGCCAGCCTAATATACAGCCAGGCCAGCCTAATACAGAGAAAGGCCAGCCTAATATACAGCCAGGCCAGCCTAATATAGAGAAAGGCCAGTCTAGTATAGAGCCAGGCCAGCCTAATACAGAGCCAAGCCAGCCTAATATAGAGAAAGGCCAGTCTAGTAAAGAGCCAGGCCAGCCTAATACAGAGCCAAGCCAGCCTAATATAGAGAAAGGCCAGTCTAGTATAGAACCAGGCCAGTCTGAACATTCATGCAGTCTGACTGGTCTCTAACCTGTTGGCAGCTCAATTTTTGTATTTTGATACTGAAATCCCTTCAACTTTGAATGGACTTTTCTAAATTCTAGGCAGGGTAAATCTATTACAAAAATTTTAGGGTAAGGGTTTAAAAAAAGAATTGTCAAGTCAATTGTATAATCAGTATATGGGAAGGGATAAATGAGATAGTTATTAGTATATAAAGGAGTCTTCCTTCTGTGTTTGAGGGATAAATATTGTACATTAAAGGGATGGAGGTAATTACAAGTGGATTGGTGCAATAATATGGTGATTTGTGCAAATACAAATTCAGTAAATAAAAGATGTTTGTACACCCTTGAGTGATGTTGAAAAATAGGTTATTACGAAATCTGAATTATTATATACGTGACTGGAATTTGATCTGATGGTGTGTAGTTTTGGGTGTTGCAACAAGTTGATTTGTGTCATAACATGTTTTGGCACACTGATATATGAATTACAGTAATATCATACAAATGTTTATTAAATTGTTCATCAGTATGATATTATATTTTTGTTTAAGTTTAACATAAAAGTATTTAAGATCTTGAACTACATGATTGTGGTCACAGTGGTATGTGTTTTGATTAGTCATTGTGCTCCCAGGATTTTTATTGGAGCATGATAGAAACTGGTTTTTCCTTGTTCCCATACTTCCTTCACATTTACTTAGATGTCTTTTTATGTCCCTTCATTTACTGACTGATGTCTGAAGTAGTTGGTACATGTATATATTCAGGATCATTAGTTAAAGTAACTCTTCAAGACACATAACTCTAGCACATATTTTACTGAATAATACCTTAGACCTCTAGCCTTTGATTTTTTTGATTTTTTTTTTTCAAATTAATTAGGTCAAGGACACCAAGGCTAAAGATAGCTAGTCCTACTTTTGTTCTTAGTTAGGCTGTGTTTTTATCTATGTCAAAGCAAGATTTGGGAGTATCAGTTCATTTAACAAGATATTTTTTGTTTCATTTGATTATAAATGCATAATATATATTTGGATAGTTGACATTTCTCTGAAAACAAACAAAAAAAATGAAATATTTTTGTTGTTATTCCTTTTGAAAAATAAGAAATTATCCTTTAAAATTTGTTTTTAGTATAAAACATGATCAGTACCTTTTATTGGTATTAAAAAGATGCAAAATATGGTATATAGTTTTATACTTTAAGGAAAGAAAATAGGGCAAGTTGATTTGAATTTTCTCCAGTTTATTACTTTAATTGTTAGCTTTGCTGTGTTAGCCTGACTAGAGAATAGTAAGACTCGGCTGACAGAGTTGCACTTTACCCACTGATCTTTGAAACTTCACACATTTATTTGTTATTTCCAAATATTTTGTCATGCAAAGATTTTTTTTCAAAACAGAAATCACATGATTACACATGTGTAATTCCGAAATGATAGGATAGCATAATTTCACTCAAAATAGCATAATTTCACTCAAAATTATTTATTTTAAATTAGATGTGATTAAATCTTTGCTGACATAAATGTTTAAAGTTCCACTATTCAAAAGTTAGGAGAGTTATTGAATCTACACCAGTGTCGGCATTACTGTCACACTCTGGTTAAGTTTTTATGTGCAGTTTGGTATCTCTAAAACTACTGAAGGAAATGGGTCGAAACTTCACACACTTGATTATCTAACATGATTAGTTCAGGTCCCATAACATTTTTACAGATTAAGCCCCTTTTCATACTGTCAGGCACTGAGAAAAGTTGAGCATGGTGTCTTATAAACAGCTCTTGTTTTTTGTACAATTTTGAGCAAAATTTCTTGGTAAGCGATTTACAAATCAATTAATATCCCATCAAAACTTAGTAGTATGAGTTTGTCAGTTTTCTTCATTCTTTCTCATTTTACCATAATTGTTATGTTATTTCTTTTTCACATGAATCAAGTGTAACTTAAGTTCCAAGAAAAAGTTCTCTTGATTGAAATAAATATCAGAATAGTTATAGCCTACCACATTGGGTTTCCTGAAAATTGATATTTATTCCATTATTTTGGGGAAGAAATAAGTTAAGCATTCAGTCATGGTGAAAATAGGACAAGAATGCTTCCACTGTGAAAGATAAATATGTTCCTCATGGAGGATTAACTGAAATGATATATTTTTTCTATGTATTGATCAGTAAGAGTTTATCTATGATATGTTTTGATAGTTGTTAAATTGGGGAAAGATTATAGATGTAAGTAAGAGATTGAGAATAGTTGTTAAATTGGGGAAAGATGATAGATGTAAGTAAGAGATTGAGAATTAAGGGGATCTAATTGTGTTTATATTTGTGAAAAGAGAAAGCCAAAGCATTTGTAACTAAGAACATTATTTATGTCAAGGTTAAAGCATTGGTATCTAAGGAGCAATATATGTCAAGATTAAAGCATTTGTAATTCTGGCATGCTCTTAATGGCATGTCTAAGCTAAAGCATTGGTTTCTAAGATATCCTGTTTATGTCAAGGTTAAAGCATTGGTAACCAACAAATGTTATTGATGTCAAGGACAAAGCGTACCTATCTAAGTGATGATCAATATGTCAAGGTCAAAGCATTAAAAACATTTGTAACTAGGTAATGATCTTCATGTCTTAACTTTAGAATTGGTAACTAAGAAATGCTTGTATGTCAAGGTTAAAGCATTGGAAGGTCAAAGCATGGGTATCTAAGGAATGTTAAATATGTCAAGGTCAGAGCATTTGTAATTAAGGCATGCTCTCCATGGCTAAGCTAAAGCATTTATTTCTAAGCAGTGCTGTCAATGTCAAGGCTAAAGCATTGGTTAATACAGGATACTGTCTATATCAAAGCTATCACATTTGTATGTAAGGACTGTTGTTATGTCAAGGCCATAGGTAACTTATTAATGGATGCTGTCCTTTTCAAAACTGGCAACATGTGTTTATTCCCAAAAGTTAATAGAAATTTGAAGTCCACAAGGCAGATCCAAAGAGCTGTGAATATTTGTAAAAGAGAGCTATGTAAAGATGTTGATAGCCTATCAAAACAAAGCCAGAAGGGATACAGTTGAATCGATTTATTTTAAGACCTTGGAAGTAAAATATGAAATCTTGGAAGTTTGTGGAGGTAGCCAAAGCATTGTGATAGAATATGGAATCCTAATAGGGAGGATTTTTTATGAGGTCACCATTAAAGGTTAAAGGTCATTTTGTTAATCTAATGCCCACTTCATGACATTTGAAATGAACAATTTAATAAGCAACATTATATGTAAAGTTATTTGCTATCTAAGCTGCAATATACATAACAAACAAACTTTTATCAATCTTCCTGGTTATTGGCACCTGAGTTCTTTCCCCCCTATCCTAGTTGTTTTCAATCTATTTCAAAAGGGCATGAGTTGAAATATTACTGAAACAGATTTTCCGGATTCTTAGAAAATTACATGGAAAGTTAATGACACCCTGTAAGTGAAGAACATTAATTATTTAATCGAAGTGAAAGTTTCAAGGAAGAAATATTTTATGTCTCGTATTTCATGAAATTATCTGTGTCAAAATGGTGAGAAATATTTCACTTTTGCCTTGTTTTCTAATACAAGATTTGCTTTAAGGAATGGAGACTATATTCAGCTAAAAAAATATATGAGCCGCGCCATGACAAAACCAACATAATAGTTTGCGACCAGCATGGATCCAGACCAGCCTGCACATCCGTGCAGTCTGCTCAGGATCCATGCTGTTCGCTATCAGTTTCTCTACTTGTTATAGAGTATGTAATTGAACAGCATGGATCCTGATCAGACCAGCTGGTCTGGATCCATGCTGGTTGCAAACCCATTATGTTGGTTTTGTCATGGCGTGGCTCATATTTTAACGTCACAGGATCCGTAAATGTTTTTTGGTTGTAGTTTTTTCTTATTTGTTGTTTGATTTTTTATGTTGACAACTTTAGTCTTTACTATTTTGTCTTTATTCTATTATTTTGAGACTTAGTACTCGGCCTCAGTTTTCATATTTGACAACAACCATAACTTGGGGGGGATGGGGGGTGGAGTCAATATATTGAAATAGGACCTTGATCCCTTAAATATCATTAAAATTCAAGGTTAAATCTTCTTAATTCAGGAAATTTCGCTACAATTTGTTATCAGATTTGAGTTGGGGCATTAAATTTTGTTTTTGTTCTTGTTTAGCATGTAATGTCCAGTAATATTTGATTTCTGTTAATTTTCTTTTGATACAAAACTTATTTCAGTTTTTAAAGTTTGTTTTTATTATTATTATTATTAATCAGTATTTTAGTAACGTCCAGGTATAGACCAGTTGGTTGTTGCATAAAAGTGTCTGTTTTAAGCATCTTTGTTCTTATTTGTAACAACAATGTTATTTGTTTTTGGGGGGTTTTTTTGCATGCCTTGGCACAAAGTGCAAGAGCTTTTCTAATCACTCAACATCTGTTGTACATCGTATGTCAGTTCACATTTTTTCTAAAAATTATAATATCTGACAACATTGGCCAATTTTGATCTAAAAAATAAAATATTCTGATCTAGAACTGTGAAACAGCATCATGATTGTGTGATTCTCAATAAAGATTATTAATTTTGTGCAAAATATCAAATTGCTTTGAACCTACTGTTGATTTAACATTACCTTAACATTCAGATATCAGAAACATATATTGTTTGGATATGAACTTTGACCTTGAGTATATGTGTCTATATACTAGTGATAAACTTTTGTATTTTCAGGCTATAGCCTTAAGCCTTAGACCAAAGTACAATAATTTGTGAAAATAACATTTTCGTATTGAATGACCTTCAACTTGACCCATTGACCTACTTTTCAATGTTTAAGCTTTTGCCTTTGGAAACTAGAAATTTGTCTAGAAATGGTTCTTAGGTGAGCAACTTTATGGCCATCATGTCCCTGGCGTTTTTATATTATATTGAAAACATTACTTTTTCTTACAGTGCTGAAATCTTCTCATTTTATAAATTGTCATTAAATTACAAAATTAGT